GACAGGGTCGTCCCAATATGCGTTTTTGCAATTTGCATATAGGCAAAAACGCATAAAAAGGAGTGCGGCTCTATAATGCACCACCTTCATCCCGACTGACGCCCTTCCTCCTGCATGCCGGAAAGGATCAAAGCACGTCAATATGACCCAACTGTTAGGCTAGGGCATAAGGATCATTTCTGCTAATAGCGATCTGCGAGTTTAGTGCAAAAACGCATGATCGCACCAGAGAGCCTGGTGTGTTTCAGCCCGAGTTTGAAATAACACTGTTGTTTCAGCCAGAAATCTTCCCGCCAAAAAATTAAGTGCCTGTACACGAGAACCACTTGTACCTGGAGACTGTGTCTGAAATCATTAAGTCGTATTCAGACGGAGAATATTCTCCTAAAATCTCAGCTTTCCAGCTTTTCTGTTTCTTGAGTTAGCAATTCTTCCGCCAAAAATTTTACAGGGCCGCACGTGACTTGGGAGCATATAGGAAGCTGGGTTTGAAATCTTTAATTTGTATCGTGGGATGGGAACATACCCTGAAAATTTCATCTTCCCAGCTCTCCCAGTTCTCTACTCAGCCATTTCCCCTCCAAAAAGTTTCATGGGGCAACGAGTGTGGAATACGCATGTTTGGCGGCTGGATTTGATAACTTTAAGTTCTACATAAAATCCCCTTAAAATTTCAGCCTCCCAACTTTCCTGGTTCCCAAGTTAGCCGTTTCTCCCCCCTCCTCCCCCCAAGGAAAAAAATTCACGGGGCCGTACGTGAGAATCACGCATGCTTAAGGGCTGAATTTGATAGCTTTAAGTTGTACATAATCTGGAAACATCCTCCTAAGATATCAGCCTCCCAGCTTCCTCTTTCCCAAGTTAGCAATTCTTCCCGCCAAAAATTTTCACGGAGCCGAAAGTGAGAACCATGCATGTCTAGTGGCTGAATTTGATAACTTTAAGTTGAGTATAGGCAGGAAACATTCCTTCAAAATTTTGGCCTTCTAGCTTTCTTGGTTCTTGAATTAGCCATTTTCCCGCCAAAAAGTTCACGAAGCCGCGCGTGGGAACCACGCACATCTGGGGGCTGAATTTGAAACCTTTGAATTATATGTGGACGGAGAACATAATCTTAAAATTTCACCTCTCTAGCTTTCCTTGTTCCCGAGTTAGCAATTTTCCCGCCAAAACATTTACCCTCTCTCACGCGGACCCAGACATGCGAGAGGGTTGGTACCGCAGTCCTGGAGTGGCACTTGGCCGAGCAACTCACTTGCAAAATTTTGACGTCGAAGATTGCTTGGTTGTCGAGTTGAAATACCTAGACAGACGAACACACACACAAACATACACACACACACACAAACATACACACCACACACACAAGGTCGTAGCAATATACGTTTTTGAAATTTGCATATAGGCAAAAACGCATAAAAACGACACTTAATACATAAAGGGCTTCCTGCAAATCTGAATAACCCCTACAGAATGCACCAATACACAAAACATTGCCACATTTGACTGTGCTGCGGCTATTTCCCCCCTCATGATATCTGTGTGGTGCTAGTACGACATGGCGACACTGATGCAACAATAATCTCGCACTAGCTCATTTTGCCTTATACAGGTACATCACGTCGCGGGTGCTTGCCGACTCAACTGCTCGCGCCATTCCGAACACAACACAATGACATTGAGGGGTCTGTCTGGAACTCTTGATGATATCGAGATATAGCAGATTATATACACGCACGCACATATATATATATATGTATATATATAAACAACATATACACACATGTGCGAGCGCAAATAACACAAACTCGCATGATTAAATATACACATACACATGTAGACCCAGATGTACACCCATACATACGCATAAAAAATTCTTTTGCAAGAATAAGATACAAACGTGTAAATGATAAAACTTCTTGTAATCCAACAAAAAGAAAATAATCTTCAAATAATCAATAAAAAGTTACACAAATTATTAATTCAGTACGGGCATCTTGAAGCTTGGAATCAAATGAGTAAGGTAACTTCTGAATTAACGTCTTTTCTTACCTTTTCTGGCTAAAGACGACGACGATCATGATGAGTATACTTGCTGCTGCACTGCATACACGTGTTAGCAGCATGAAATCATATGTCCTCTCAGCAAAGATATGATGCTCTCTTAAATTTTCCACCTTTAGTAATATCCGATTTGCATGATACACTTCTCAAGTTAAAAACCTCAAAGAACAAACTTCGTTCGTGTGGAATAGCCAACCCTTTCCGGGATTTGTTAAATTGGCGCTAGAATATGCTAAAGGAGGCCGTCATCTGCTTGTTTTTCAGCACCTGTCAGAAAACAGAAACCTCAAAATTTTTTGGTGTGAAAAGTTTTACAAATGTGCAACCAGTTAGAGTAAAATTAGCAGTACAAAGATTAGTAGTAGTACGCTCCATCCATCCCTATGCTTTGGGCATTTCTATTTCTTTTGCACTGAGAAAAAAAACTTACAAGCATAAGTATGATACATTATATTCAGGTTGTAACAGTGTGACGACTATAGCGATGGCAAGCGGAAACACGGATATGACGTACTCAATGATGATAAGGTTTTTGGTAATGCGCTTTTCTTTTCGATAGTAGTAAACAGGGTATGAGATTGCAATAAGCCGATCCATGCTATGCGCCAGTAGGCCAACTCCGTTCAGTGTGTTGAAAAGTACCAACAAAACCACACTCTTCAAAATTACTAATTTAAGCATTTGCTTCAGCTGTAAAAAGCAATCATTGGAGAGTGAAAACTGCTGATGGCAGAGAAAATCATGGGCGATGCGAGCCGGGGGTGTCCATGCGATCATGCCTTTTTGCAGTATTTGTGCTATAATGAGATCGTCCGGAAAGCTAGTAGCTAGAAATTATAACATACTGGTCCTCGGAGTTCGGGAAATTAATTATGTAACTGCGGTGTTTAGAACATTCCGTTAAAATTTCAGCTTTCCAGCTTTTCTTGTTCCCTAGTTAACAATATTCCCGACAAAAAATTTCGCGGAGCCATGCATGAGAACCACCCATAGTTGAGGGTTGAATTTGATACCTTTAGCTTTTACGGAGGCTGGGAACATCCTCTTAAAATTTCAGCCCCCCAGCTTTTCTGACTACAGAGTTAGCGGATCTCCTGCAAAAACTTTCATATGGTTGTTCGCGAAGTCCAGACGTGCGTGGAAGTTGAGACCGCGTCCTGAGGTGGCGCTTGGTTGGGGAACCCGCTGGCAAAACTTTGTAGCCGGAGCTTGCGTGGCTGCTGAGTTGAAATACCCGGACAGACGCACACACATACACACACACGCACTTACACACGCACACACACAAATATACACGCACACACGTATATCAAAGTCGTCACAATATGCTTTTTGCATTTGCATATATGCAAAAACGTGATGAAACAAAGGACCCTTGGCGCCTTCTTCGAACCACATAAGCAATTAGGCTCTCCGTCAAATGAATATAATGAATATCGCTACTACCGCGTGAGGAAACAAAACTTCATGCCTGCCGACGGCCGATGAAGGCTCGCACCAATATCTGCTATTTATAAGGAAGAAAAGAACTTTGGTATTTTGCACATATATGACCCTTCGAGAAACTGCGTGCGTGGTGAAATTAACGAGTATTAATTGAAGAGTTGGGGAGCCTCGCGCATTTTTGGGTATTTTATAGTTACATTAACACCAACAACGTCCAGTCTTCCACATTGACGATTTTGGCAGTCTTATCTTCAACTCTAATCAGCCACTAGTCCAAGCAATCAATAGTAATAAAATAACAACATTAATAATAACAGTGATAATAACAAAAACAATAATAAATAATAATAACGTTGTAATAAATAATAATAAACAATAAATAAATAAAAATAATAAATAAAAAAATAATAAAATAATAAATAATAATAAATAATAACCCACGTTGCAACGCACCAGGTTAGCCGAGGCGATCATGCGTTTTTGCGCTAAAATTGGAGGTCTTAAGCTGCAGACCAGTGTACATGATTATCAGCTTCTTGCATGAAGCCCGATCATTTTCCCGACGAATGCCTGCTCACTGAAAAATGCAAATTTGAAAGAAATCGGAAAAGGATTATAAAATCTGCAAAATGCACTCGTCTTTGAGTTTGCGATGAAATTTAGTATCTGCCATGCCTTCGTGCAAATTCACGTGTGAAAATTGTGCACCTAAATGGAGGTGAAATTCACCTCCAATCTGAACCAAGACCAAACTTGAATATAGAACTTCCTTGCAAAGTTTCAGCTTTACAGCTTTCCTGGTCAGCGAAATATCCATTTCGCTAAAAACATGTTTGAAGTGCCCTAAGTCGTGGCGCAAGTGCAAATCGGAACTCAATCTAAAACGCAATTTCCATATGAACAACAAATATTCTGACAAAATTTCAGCTAAAATTTAAGTTTTTGAGTTAACACAGTGCTACTGTGAAGCTTTGAGCTGACCATAAGCATGATATAGATGTGCACAATAGCTGAATTTGAAATTTTTTGTTCACATATACATAGAGAATATCTTTGCAAAGTTTCAGCGTTCTAACTTGTCTAGTTTACAAAATCGCTTTCCGCTGAAGAATTTTGTGTACTTTTTTCAGGGTGCCGTATGCGAAATCTAGGCGCGTGTGAGGGAAAAGATTTTAAGGCGAGAGAGGTGACACGTAGAGTGCGAATATGCCCCCAAAATTTCAGCTTCCCAGCTTCCCTCATTACTGAATTGAAAATGGGCGACAAAGTTCACGCGCTTCCGAACACAGACACGTGCGACTTCTCGACAACTTGCGTTTTTGCTTTTTTTAGCAGCCGTATAACGCCGCACAGCAAAAACGTATAAAAATGATAATCATAGTAGCAATAACAATGTCAACAAAAATAATTAACAGCATTAATTAGTAATGCTAATAATAAATTGCTTCATGAAATTCACACCTGATAGAGGCATTCTTTGTTGGAATCATAGCGATCATCCAAAGCAGGATCATATGTCCATGCTTTGACACCATAGATAACCGACGTAAAGCCAGTCAATCCGTTGTGAAGAAATATCAACGATAAAATGATATAATTTATCCTAAAATTACGCTACACTTAGTTTTTCATTTCTGGATTTCGTAAATTACCTGCTAAAATGGGCTGTAGCTCATGCAAATTTTATACTCGGAAGTACCAAAATCGAAAAAATGCTTTTTTTTACCTCAAAGTCCGATGCCAAATAACGATTCCAAAAACTGGTAAGTTAATGAGCGCAAGTAGACAACCAACAATGATGAAGCCATAAGTGGGGATTATCGTGGCTACTGATGATATGCAGGTTTTAATGAAACGTGAAAAATCTGTGCTCATTGACTGTCTAGTTCTGAACCTAAAATCATGAATATTCATGAAACATACGTTCATCCAAAAATACTAAGGCTGCTGGTGCAGTCATTACCGGTGGCCAATGTAAGTGATGAAACTGATACGACGCCACTTGCCTTCGGCCTTTCAGTTCTAGTTTGCGTAGCTTCAGTTAGTACCTGCAGTCGTGAAATTCAAAAGAGTCAAAAGTCTCACCGTATTTGCTCTCTATAGCAGAGAAGGCAAGCGGGAAAAACTTTAGTGGTGAAAAATGCGAACAGCAATCACTAGCCGCAGTTCTTATCGATGATGACCTCCTCTTCTGAGGGTTATTTACAAACAAACTGCCATGAAATTCGCTAGAATTAAAACAACATAATAAATCTTTGCTTTTTGAACTCAGTCAAGATTAACGAGGAAATGCTTGAAAACTGAATGTATTATTGGAAAACTCATAAATGCGCTAACTATATTATAGGCATAATTTGATCGCAAGGCTACAAATAATTTTTTCTAACGCTTTTGCGGAAGAAAGAGTAGAAATAATTGCCATTCCAGAGGAGTGACATGGATCTTTCCAAAGAGGGAAACTCCGCTATTCCTGGAAGAAAGTAATCAAAAACGAGATACCACTTCAGAATTTTTTATGCGTTTTTTGCACATTAATGCGAATGTAAAAAAGTGTATTAGGTAAAAGTAGCCTGTGTGCTCGCATTTTGCCATTCACTTTCAACCAATTAACCGGATAATCCAGGAGACTGAAAGTTTTCTAGCTTGCTTCTACTCCATATGTAAATATCCATTTTCAAAATTACCACTTAAGTTGTTCTGTCCCAACGTATGAAAGTCGAAAACAAAACACATACATTTTTTGGTCAGAAGACGACTTCGGAAACCAGACAAGATAGGGAAATGAAATTTCACGCAAATATTCTATGTCTTCGTGTAAAATAAAGATTTCAAATTCAGCTATTACGCACGTCTACTTTACACTCGCCAATACATTAAAATTGAAATCAGCGCGCTGCTGTTGAAATGCTTTCTCCGAAACGAAGCTGTTTGAATAGCTATATTCTTTTGAAAAAAACACTTTTTTTTTCAAACGTGATATAAACGAAGCCTTTTATTGAAAATTGTTACAGATCAGTAGTGAATATTATAAGTAATATTATACTGTTATTGGTAAAA